GTGGGAGAGGAGCTGATTGATGACTGACAAGGAGTTTCTGCGCGCCGCGGAGAAGAGCGAGATACATAGACAGAGAAAGAAAGGCGGAGGGACGAGGATGAAAGAGAAGGGCGGGTCTTCGCTGGCTGCCTACTGACTTTTGTGCCAAAACCTTAGGAGAGAGAGAGAAAAAAACTACATGCGGGCGAGCTTTTGACCGTCAAGACATTCATGATAGTTAAATCAGAAAATAAAAAACGAAACTACGTATTTGACCGGTTAGCGACCGGAGCGGGGTCAGCAAAAGTACACTGCAAGAAAAACAAAGGAAACCTTATGGCCGGGGTTTGAGATAAATCTCACGACTTTGAAATAAAAATCCGAAAGGGGCGGGCGTGGGCATCACGCCACCTCCAATCTCAGAGCACTGCCCAACCCCACGGGGTCTGGGTCTGGGGCGGGCCAACGGCCACAACGCACGACAAAACCACCCCACGACGGGCTCTATCTCAAGACGCGGCGTGCTTGAAATCCACACTGTTCTTACGGAAAAAAAAAATGTCAAGCGAAAACAAACGCACGTAGGGCCCATATAACCGGGCGGGGGCGGATGTGTCGCAGCTCCGGCTGGGGAATAAGGTGAAGGTGATTGATTCTGCATCGGAGTGGAGCGAGCGAGAGATGACAGGGAGGCGAAGGCCTAGGACGTTGAAACAGAGCACGGCTAGTACTACACCCCCCAACTCACGCAAGGTAAGGTAACACATAAAAATACCAAGTAGAAGAAACGCAATTTGTTTGACGGGCAGGTGATGGCCGGCCGCACGTGAGGGGTCGTGGCATATGCCCCCGTGCCTTGTACCCCCCGGGGACCCCACCCCCCGGCCGCCACCCCAGCCCGGCCCGCCCCCTCCCGCGTGGCGCCGCCGTCGCTCCCGCGCAGCTGCCCCTGCTGCCTTCCGGACTAGCATTTACAGCCGGGAGCACCGGTGTCAAAATCTCACCGACTGAACCACACAGAGAAAAACTTGAGCAAAAAGTTAGCAGAAAAATGGAAGGTACGATAACGTGAACGTGTGAGTGGAAAAATACAAGGTTGGTGAAAAATGGAAGTCATGGGATAGAAAAATAAAAACAATCGTGATGAGTGCATGAGTAATGAAGCTGGGGCGCGAGACGACGGCACTGGAACACCCCGCCCCGTCGCGCCCCGCCCCGTCGCGCCCCGCCCCACCCCGCCGCGCCCAGCACGCCGCGTCACGCCCCCGGTGGTCCGAAGCGCGCTGCTGCTGCTGCTAGGGCGTCTAGAGCAGTGTTGCGAGAGGGACAGAGAGCGCGCTGCTCCGCTCTGCCTGTTCGAGAGAGACGGGCGTTAGAGGCGCCCCCGGAGAGCGGCGCGCACCGCGAGAGCGGCTCCAGGACAGTCCACACCGGAAGCGGGCAGACATTGTAAGAATTCATTAGTGGACCGCGACGGGCCAGCCTCTCTCTCTCTCTCTCTCTCTCTCTCTGTCTCTCTCTCACTCCCTCTCTCTCCCTCACTCCCTCTCTCTCTCCATCTCCCTCTCTCTCTCCATCTCCCTCTCTCTCTCGCTACCATACCCATCCCATCAATCCTCCGCTAATGAGCCGGCTCACACACACTCACTCCGTGTCGCCCTATTGGTTCAACGCGGCGCCGTAAAAGCGAGAGGCACAGCATGAGGCAATCGGCGCGAACCTATAACTTGCGCCAGTCAACACACAAGTGCTTCCAACATTTTTAACGCCAAGAAAAAGTAAACAGCATATACGTTATATAAACACAGAAACATGATTCTGATCACTGTAATTACCGAAACGTGAACATACAGTTATTTATTTTAACCCACAATTTTAAGAGGTGTTGGAATCTCACGCTCATAAATTGAAGAGTACAGATAGGGTGTGTAACGTAATATAAAGAAATTCACACAAAAAAAAAAGAAAAAAAAAAACTTTCCAGTTCACCCTGACGGGCCCAACCTTACGCCATTGGTCGGCCCCTCACCTCGAATCGCGGGTCCGCGTGACCAATCGCGCGAGACCCGCACGACTTATGGCTTTCTCTGCATTCAA